ACAGTTGAGCCCAGAATTTATGCTGCTAAGTGAGAAATTTGTTAAACAAAATTTCCCCCTTTTTACGACTTTTCTTGCCACATTTGTTAAGCGAATCACTGCAATTGTTAAATTAGTAACATGGCTGTGAAGTGAATCTGGCTTCCCCGTTGACTCTGCTTGTCGAAAGGTCGCAAAAGTTGATCACATGACCCTGGGAACTCTCCAACCGTCATAAATATGAACCAGTTGCCAAGCGTCTGAATTTTGATCATGTGAATGTGGGGATTCTACAATAGTCATAAGTGTGAAAAATGGTCAAGTCACTTTTTTCAGCGACGTTGTAATTTTGAACGGTCACTAAACAAACTGAGGTAAGTTGAGGACTATCTGTACTATGCAAAGAAAACTACACAGACCTATATGTGAAGATACCAGGAGTCGAGCTCCACCAACTCAAAATATTATAACTGTAAAAGTCACTTTTCAATAGCTACTCTGGAACAGCAGAGAGAATATGAAAGAATAGAGGAGGCAAGCATAGTCCAATCAATGCTCTTTTCACTCTTTCGCACCAGTGCACGGCTATAATCACAGCACAGCACAGCTACAGAGAAATAGTTCAGGAAATTGGTGAGAATTTAATGAGATCCGGAAAAATCTCAGAATTAGCACACTTGGCCCTGGCTCCCTGAGTTAACCTCCACATGATTGTCTTTAATGAGATCTGTGAAACCCCACAAAGATATTATTACATTAGCATTAACATCAGCTACTGAATGACATACAATGAAAAATTAAACTGATTTGCTTGGAAAAAGGAAAAGAATGTAATCTGGGAAAAGTCTAGAAGTTGTATGGTGCCTTCTACCCATATTTACTCCACAGCATTTCTATTAAAAAGAGTGGGAGCCAAATGTATTTTACTAATGGGTATCTAATACTTTTAAGATTAGTACCAGCGTATCTGTGAAAAATTGTTGAGCAATACAGTTAATTCATTTTGGAACAGGTTCTGCTGGGATTGAAAGCCCCCTTATTATTAGTTTGCAAAGATAGTGATGCTATCTATTATTTAAGTTTTTAGTTTGGGTGTTTGGTTTTTTTTTTTTTTAAAAAAGTCACACGTTTTTTTTAATGTTTATACATTCATGCTGTGAACCTTACAGAATAATTTGGGAGTAGCATATAACTTGGTCAAAACTAAACTAAAGAAAAGAATACGGCAGCTGTGTTTTCCACAGAAGTTTGGATGATTGCAATGGGAAACGGATGCTGGGCTAAACAGGCATTTGATCTAATCAAGAAAACTGCATTTTATATTCTTGACAAGGATCTAAAGCAGTATTTCTCAACCTTGATAATTTTAAGGCATGTGGACTTCAACTCCCAGAATTCCACAGCCAGCAATGCTGGCTGTGGAATTCTGGGAGTTGAAGTCCACATGCCTTAAAATTCTCAAGGTTGAGAAACACTGATTCTAAGGCAAGGGTTCCCAATCTTGGCAACTTTAAGATGCATGGACTTCAACTCCTAGAATTTCCCCACTGCCTGGAGAATTCTGGGAGTTGAAGCCCACATGTCTTAAAGTTGCCAGGATTGGAAATCCCTGAACTAAGCTATATTTATAAAACTGGAGAGGGTGCTATTATGGATGCAAATAATAAAGAGACTGTAATTCTAATATGACAGAGCATTTTTTTTCTTTTGATACTTTTTAATGCAGATTTGTTATCATCCTCTCTCATAATTCCACAAAAGATCTCTTTCCCATATCTCATCTCTTATCTATAAACAACTTATAAAGCTTTGTTATTCAATCCAAATCAGCAAAAGCCCATTAAGAGTTACCAGGAAATATAACACATATATTTTAATCTTAATCAAATAAACTAGTTTTATGTTCCTTTATTTTATTTGTAACATAGTAACTTATCAATGCAGCAAAAGATCTCTTCTTTCCATATCTTACCTTTTACATATAAAGAAATCTTTAAAGCTTCAGCCATAATCAAGAAAATCCATTAACTATCAGAAACAACATATAGATTTTTAATCTGATCAAATAAAACAACTCTGTATTCATTCCATCTTCTTTTAAGAAACTTAATTTCTTTAGTGTCCCAAAAGTTGATTTTGTAACTCATAAGGAGTTTCTAACAAGTCTCTTTTGTAAAACCAAGACAAGAAAGTTATCCAAGCCATTCTGATTTATTATTTGTCTGCCCCCTTTAATTATTAAGATATAAGCCAGTTTCATTTGTAAATCGAATGCAACTTTTTTTCCTTATCATTCTTGCAGCCTGACATTTTTAAATCCACTTTCAGAACTACATCTGAATTAGCCCTAGTTTGTTTTATCCAGTAATAATCTATATTATTTCTGAATCTATTTTTATAATAGCAGACAATTTAAAGAGTAATTTATGAGTGCATAGTCCCCAAATATCCTTGAAGTCTTCCAAGTTCATATATTTTTAATCCATTCGATATTAATTAGTCATTTATAATTTCAGTTTTTTCTGGCTCCCTCTAGTGTCCAACTTTCAAAGTCCCTCTTGTCATTTTTTCTATTTGTTTATTTATTTATTATTTATTTTATTTTTATCCTATCTATTACTTTATAAGTAACTCAAGGCAGTGAATATACAGTACATAATACTCCTTCCTTCTTTCCTTATAACAACAATCCTATGAAGTAGGCTGGGCTGAGAGAGAGTGACTGACCCAAAGTTCCCCAGCTGACTTTCAAAATTAAGGTGAGATAAGAACTCCTAGTTTCTAGCCTGGTCCTTAACCAATAGACTAATCTGGCTGTAAACACTAATTTTCCATGGGAGCATTTCTTAAAAATTAGTTTCAAAATCTTTATACACACACACACACACAAAAACTATATATATATAAGAATTTTAAACAACCCAATTAATTGTAATTAATTTCAAAAATTTATTTCAAGTTCCTCTTACCCCTTAATTCATTTAGAACTTTCCAGAATCAATGTTCTAATCACCCTCTTGCTGTTTATTCAAATATAAGATTTTTTAAAAAGTCCTTAAGCTTGAATGAAACTTTTTTCATCAAAGGTAGAAGAAAACTCATCTGATGTAATGAAACTTGCCTTTCTGAGGGTTCTTAGTATAAAAAAGCCATTAATAAGCAATTTTCAGAAATGATTAGGAAAGAAAGTAGGCAAACCCAGTGTCCTTTTGAAGGCTCTGAACTGTGGCTTGGGTAGAGATGACTTTTCTTCAGCTCCCAAAACTTTAAAACTCACCAGAGACTGTTGTCTTACAGTTTCCTTGTGAAGAACCACTGTATGGAGTGCTTGTAGGCAATCCTGGTCCTCTCCTTGCTCAGGAGAGGAATTTCAAGGAGCGATCCATTCACGGGTTCTTCATTCTACTACAGTTGTTGACTTTACTCTTGCCGAGTGTTTTTAGTCTGCCATTGCTTCCCTGGAAGTCCCCAGGAAATATTATAGATGCCTTATGTTTTAAAGAATGTTCAATTTTGGGGGCCTGTAAGCATCCTCTTTGCCTAATCGGCTCAGTGCTTACAATCAATCACCATGCAATGTAGCTCATTTGCAGCATAAGTGATAAACAAGGATCAAGATGGTTTCAATAATACCAAATACTGGCTTTAAGAGTTGTCTCTTTCGTGAGGCTTTTTTCATGTTTAGCCCTGTAAAGCAGTTATTGTCAGAAGGGTGCTCTGAATTAGCACTTGGAATTTGAAACTTAGGGTGAAGCATGAGATAGAAATATGGAAAATATGTCAACTATGTGTAAATATTCTAATTAATGGTACGTCCAGTTTACAAAATATAAATAGAATGAATCTGTTCTTGTTTCCTGTTTCCTTTTATTTTTATACAGGATGGTGGTTTGATGCATGCGGGCCTTCCAATCTAAATGGTCTATACTATCCATTGCGACAGAACACAAACAAATTTAAAGGCATTAAATGGTACTACTGGAAAGGAGCAGGCTATTCTCTAAAGGCCACAACTATGATGATCCGCCCAACAGATTTCTAAAAAAATCTACACTTTTTGAAATATTATGTTGACATAATTTTAATATACTTTGACAATATGGATACACTATGACCAATTTTTCTGCCTGAACAACATGCATATGCATCCTATAGGAACCAGTGTTTCTAGTCCTGATTTCAGCATTGCTGAATTTCATCACAGTTCAGTCATGCAAGAAGAAATAACTAATGCAATAATGATTTTAAAAGGAGAATGTTAGAAGGATTCTGCAGAACCTTTAAGAACTTTGTTTTCATGAACATTCATGAAGTTTATGCATAACTGGAACTGTGAAATATATCTAGATTGTCTAAAATTTCCTCAGTCTTAAACATTACTTTATATCTTACAACTGAACTCTTAACTGTTATTTTAAAAAGAGCACTGCTTTGTAAACTATATTGTATCTTATTATTCATGCTGTTCCTTGTAATTATGTAAATATTTTGTAATTAATGCCTAGATACGGATTATTGCTTTTAGTAGTCACATATGCAAGGATATTTGGTAGCACATAGTATATTTAATAAGACTGTATAAAATATTTCTATATTTTACATGTCTTTTCTTTAAAATCCAATACTGAGTATATAACAGACCACTATTTTTATACCTTGCATATCAGATAGTTGTATCGGTATTCTAAAGCTCAAAATATCTTTGCAATTTATAGAACACTACATGTGAACTCAGTATAATGTATAAGAATATTGGACTGTCGTTCTTTCTTGTTCTTCTCTGTTAAAATAATACCTGTTAATGATAATTTATCAGTATTTTGGACAGATTAAAAGATCTGCTTCTATTACTTTAGCTTAAAGGAAAAGTGCTAATTAAAAGTTTGAACATCTCTTGAGGAACATTGATTTGGGATTAATTGATATACAGTTCCCTGTCAACATTTTCCATTGCTTATATTTTTATATATGACAATCAGATCATTATATTCTAATAAATTAAAAAGCAAAATATTACTTACAGGAGCTGCAGGGAAATCCACTGACAGTTCAAATGGCTCTTCAGAAATCCAATAGCCATGTTCCAGAGACCACAAAACCTAGACAGTAAACCAGTGAGAATTAATAGTTCTGGTTGAAATGTGTAAAGTAGTCAGTAGTAAGTAGATAATTAGTAATGGAATAGTTAGCATATTCAAGCTTTGCTTCATAAGATTCCAGATAGCTATGCTTTAGCTCATTGCATACAGCGTTTCTTTACTTTATTGAAATCTCATCAGACATTTATCCCATAATAATACAAACAGGCTTCTAAATTTGTGAACTATGCTCAGTCTTAAAATAGATGTTTTATATACATACATACATACATACATACATACATACATATATAGGATCAGGTCATGAACTTGGCCCCAGGGGCTGTGTAACACAAAAGCCAAGCTTATTTGAAACTTTGACTTAGATGAACTGAACATAGTTGAGGGAAGTGAAAATCCTAACTTGCTAGTTGCAATGAATCACTATTCCTGTGCCATCAGACAAATTGATTAAAACCAGGATCATGTATTCAGCACCAAGACTGTGAATACAAATGTTTCCCTTATATAGCCCAAAAGTATTCTTTCTGAGTGAATTAGAGGACTTTCCAAGTCTTCAGTCATAATGGATACATCTAGGGAGGAGATCTGATGGAAACCAGAAAATTTTCAGTTCATAGGTTGAAGTGCCGTCCACTTTTCTCACAATTTCTTCAGACAGTTGCCAACATTTATAACTGCTTGGCCTAAGATTAATTAGTCTTGGAAATTGCTAATTTGCTACAAAATAGTTCCTTCACAAAGCACAGTTGAAACAAACGATGTATGTCTCAAGAACAGTATTTCTTGTCTGAATCTTTGTTAATAAGTTCCAGATTCTCCACTCCCAAATCCATTCCTCAGTGCTCAGCATACATATGCAGAATAAGAGAAACTCCAACAATTAATACTGTTCATCATTTGATCAGTGGTCAACAGCTGGTATGTTCAAAACAGTAACATGCCAAACCCAGAAGGAACATTACAAAGACTCTATAACAAAAGATCAAAACAAATGCAGTTTAAAACCAGTCAATGACTTTTTCCACAGGAACAAAATGACATCCTCTGTGGTTATCTACTTAAATGTGCCATTTCCTCTACAAGCCCCTTTTAAAAAAAATATAGTTTAAAGGGCGAGTGTCCTCTTTCATATTTTTCACCTGTAAAAATATTTAATACTCTTATTATCTGAAGCAAAACATTGTCAAACACTTGCTGAATCTCCCTATATTTCCCATCAAATCATACTAGAATGAATGGCCCAGAAGCATTAAATATTGGATAAGAAACTGAAATATTCTGCATATAATCTTGGTATGGTGAACTGTTTATTTAGAGATATACACATATTCCTTAATTGTAGTACATCAGATGAAAAGGTATTTATAATAACTTTATAGGATTCTAAGAGATAACGTTAAAAAAAACCAGTCTTAAATTCTTTCCTCCATCATATTTTGGGGCCAGCTGCCAGGAAAAAATGCAATTTTCCTCTCATCTTGGCTCTAATAGGAAATATATCACATTGGAATATGTAATTTTTTTCCTGGGCTTCATCACAAACTCTCTGGGATGTCTCTCCATTCCACCTGAAATTAAGGTTCACCCTTACATCACTAATATCTTGTAGCATGACTTCTCCAAATATTACACATTTTTATTTCAAAAGTTGTCAGCTCTACATCTTGACATGGATCATGTGCCTCTAGGCCAGGGGTGTCAAACTCGCAACGTCACGTGACATGTCGCAACATATTGTGACATTTTTGCCATTGCCGGCAATGGGGTGGGCACGGTTTTAGCATGACGCATCCAGCCTGTGGGCCAGCAGTTTGACACCCCTGCTCTAGGCATTCAAATCAGAATGCATATTAGTAATAAGAAACCAGTTAGTGAGAAAAATACTCAATTTACAGGTATTACGAATCAAATAGGCAAGGAAGCATTAAATAGGTTAAACACCATACTATAAACTGTATATTCCGGCATATAAGGTGACCCGGCATATAAGACGACCCCTGTGTTCGGTGCCGAGTCGCATGCCTAGAAAGTCGTCTTATATGCCGGAAACTACCGTTATTTCCAGCGTATAAGACGACTTGGCGTATAAGACGACCCCTGACTTCGGTGCCGATTTTAACGCTTGCGAAAGTCGTCTTATACGCCGGAAAGTACGGTAGTCCAAAAAGAAAAAATCAGCTACAGAAAAGTTGCAATTTAAAAATTATGTAACATACAATAATGGGGAGTGTAATCAGTTCTATTTACAATCGTAGTTCAGAAGCATCTGAATCAAGATAATTTCTTTGAATATGATTACAGAAAATACGATCCATCTGTGACACAAATCCCTTGGCATTAAGGGCCTTCCTGTTTCTGCAGCTGCACTTGGTTTCTCTCCAGTCTGGGAAAGAGGGATATTACCGACTTCTGCTTCTATTACTTTGAAAATCAATATGTATACTTTGAATACAAGGTTATCATTCATTTGAGTGCCTAGGTTTCTGTCTTGTTTCAGCAGATATTTTGTAACAACAGCAGGAAGGCTAAAACTCATAAATACATTTTTTAAGTTAGAAGAGGGATTTTCAATGATCATACACCAAGTTGAAAATATAAACAAAGAAGGCACCCAGTTGTACATTTTAATAGCCAGTTTTGGAGCCTCCAATTTATCTGTACATTACTAATCCAAGAAACAGGTAAGGTCCAGGAAAATGTAAGCCAGCCTTTATTTTTGTTGAGAGGTTTTCTTATTTCCTCATATTTCTTGTACCTCCAGTATACTTTGGTCTGAGAGGGGGAGAACAGAAGAGCTTGAAGGATCTGTTTAGAAAAAAATTTGGATTTTAGCATTTTAACTGCAAAATTATTCTAGTGTAGAGTTCTCTCTAACTTTGTTTAGACTCAGACTTTATGAGTCTCAAGTTTAGAGCTGGCACCAGGAATTGTTTTGGATATTTGGGGCCTCTTTTCTCCATGACTGATGACAATTATAGCATGGTTTTCTACTCTTGTGCGTCAAGAATGTGAATTTGATGAATTTGGTCCCACCTACAAGTATTCATATGGCCAAATTCACTTTGCAAGCCTCTACTATCCACATAATGTGAAATGTGACCAAAACATTTCATACTCCTAATTTATAAGAAATATTCATCTTCAGTTTTTAAAAAAGGTGGTAATAATGTTGTGCACATTTATATGCTTATTTTGCTGTAAAATTAATACGTAATAAACCTAAGCAGCCTTGATTAACAGCAACACTTTAATATTTCACACTGTATCACATATTCATTTACCATTAACGTTACCAGACAATGAACATATTTTTAATGAAAAAGAAAGTATATTGATAGTCATCTGTATTACTTACCCAATCATAACAGACAATCCAGCAGCCCCGAGCAATTCCCATAAGTATATTTAAAGTCCGGCGGGGGCTCCCTGCAATTACATGACTTGTACTTTTGCATACTTCATCAGAAGTCAGAAAACCACCCAGCTTCTTCAGCACCTGCAGAGTTACTTTCTGCATTCTTTAAGAAGAAACAGAGAGTAGATAACTTAATACCTTACATTTCTACAGAAATGATCAATTTATAGTTACAATATAAGCATTATTATAAGAGGTTTGTACAAAACATTAAAATGGCCAAAAGGTATGTTTACTTTGAGCCCATTTCATTGAAAGTAGTCTGACCTCAGCAATGAGCTATTTCTAGCTGTATAATGGAGTTTGGGACAGCCCTATTTGATGTTGAGATATTTCCAATGAGATTGGAACAGATGTTTCAGGGGTCAGAATGTTCCTAGCGTTGAATGTCTTGCACATATTTATTTAAGTAAGGGTACAATAAAGCGGCATGGTAATTCATTGCCTCCAAGCTAAACTTACATACTTTTGAAAATGAATCAAATCTGAAATTGGTACAGAATGTAGAAGCCCAGCTATTATCAGATAAGAATTAGATCACCCCAATCTTCTGCATGCTATACTGTTTTCTGATAAGATTCTGGATCAAATTCAAAGTCCTGGTTTTAAACCACGTGGCTTGGCTCCCATGTATCTCCAAGCAGAAGCATCCTATTCATTATAAGAAGTACACAGCTCTTATCTATTCAACCCAGAAAAGAATGTTTAAGGCTCCTATTTTCATGAACTATATTGAGGGGTGGTAGTCTCTGTGATAAATGTTTCTCTCTGGAGGGAACAGCAACTTCCAGTGGTTCAAATTGGCCTCCGTTTTGCTCCCATGGGAAAGCCATAACAATAGTGTTGAGAGAATATGTGGGATCTGATGGTGACTACTGAAAGAGGACAGCAGGATGGTAGGTGCTGTTATTAATTTGATATTTGAATTGTTTTTTTTAAATCTCTGAATTTAATTTATATAAGTAAGTTGGTCTTATTCCATACTGCAGTTTGAAGCACAATTAATAGGGAACAGCACACAGTGAATGCAGTTCTGACTAAGCATGCATTCTTTCATCATACAGTAAACAGATTGTAACAAACATGTTGTTTCCTAACTGTATGCTAACAAAATCCGTATTTAAAAGTACCATACTTTTGCTACAGTCCCTTCTAAAGTAATTTATGCATAAATTACTTACATAAAAATGATTTAATTAAAATTATTAATATGATGTGTTTTAAGACATTTAGAAAATTTATATTATATATCCAAAGCTAATTTGAATCCTTGGGATTGAAGTCTATATCTGTCTACATTTTTCTGATCGTAGCATACAAATATAAACTATTAATGGGAGTGTTGTTTCCCAAATAGGCCTGCATTAGAGGCCACATTGGTCAGATTTTAGGAAAATGAAATCCAAACATTGGAGGATACTAGACCTAGAAGGCAGTTTTATGAACTACAGAGATATGAAAATATGTGTACATAGAAACATAATCACAATACCTGGTACTTACTCAGGGGACATGCTTGTCATGACTAAGGTTCTCAAAGGCTAAAGATTTAAAGAAAGAAGGAAAAATAAATCAACATTTGCTTGCCCTTAACAATGTCCAATTCTGATGAATATCTAAATCATACAAAGATTAAAGCTTTTTCATACATCTCAACATTTAGGAAGCAAAGTGTAGCTTCTTGTTATACACACACCTGCATGAAGGAGCCCTGTGTACACATGTAGGGTTTCTTCATGTATGGGATTCCTGAGTGATCCTCAGTTCTTGGCTGCAAAGTTAGAGAGGGTACCACTGTACATCTCTGTGCTGAACATGAAAAAGTAGCATACATACGATCCTTGAACATATTTTTTCAACATTCAGTAGGGAAGAAAGAATGCAGTGGAAACACTGTATTAAAAGGTGGTGTACAGGTCACCTGAGCAAAAGACTATTCCTAGAAAACAGCTTTGATGGTCTAGTACTTTTAATCTATAACTACCTAAGTTAATTCAACATGAGATTACCAGTATTGTATTTTAACTGCAAATATTTGTCTCCATGATTTACAGAAAAGATTCACCCATTCTAATTGAATATTCTAAACGCATCAAATAGAATCCGCTTTCTGAAATTTGTAAAGCTCTTTCCCCATATAGGAAGCACATTTATTTTATCATTGTAAAATGTTGGGCTGCGTCTTCAGTATCTAGACTGCTGAAAAGCTATACAGAACAATTCAGCACATACAAACTAGAGACATCTCTTCAGTGATAACAGCAATTCTTCCAACTAGTAATAAACAAATACAATGTTCTGCCTAAACACATTGCTTGGATTTTGACCATGTGGAAAGGTCTGTATCATAAATAAACAGACCGATTGATAGACATTGAGAAGAATAAATCCAAGTACTAGGTGAAATGTCTTGTGACAGACGCTTTTTAAAAACTTGTTGCTCATCAGAGAGTTTAATGAATTTTTCTTTCCATGAATTAGAAAGGGGAGTGTATGGATGGGTAAAAAAGCAATCTTAGTTTAGCTGAAAATCCTCTTGCTATTAAATCAGGTGGCTGATAATGGCTCTGAATACTACAATACTTGAGTTAAAGAAAAATAAAATGATTATAAAGTATAGGAACCATTTCATGGCTGTAGCATGGCCCACTGTATTCTGCCAAATCAAATGTTGATTTTACAAAATATATTCATCCAGAAAACTTCAATTTTAAGAATATGTAATAAAATGCTGCAGCTGATCATGTTTCCCCCCTGGGTAGATTAGCTATTCAGTGGTTTGCTATGATTCTGTGTCCACTAAACATTAGATTTTCTGGTTTCCCCTTAGGATTCTCACCTACTTCTGCAGATTGTAGGGTTCCCCAGATCTGACACAAAAAGACATTACTGAACCTGGGAAAAGGAAGAAATGAAAGACACCTCCTTCTACTGCTCTTATAGCCATGATATACCAACTCACCTTTTTAATTCTCCTACTAATCTTTAATTTCCTATCAGGCTCATTCACATGGCTCCCCAAAAGTTCACAAGCAGCATTTTTGGCATCACTCGTTGAAAATTTGGCATTATCTAAAAACCAGATTCATTCAGAGTTAATTCTAACCCATACTATGAAAAATGTAAATGCTGTTAATGTATTAGCACAATCGTAGCTTTGCATTTTTCCTGTATATTTTTCATAATGAGGTACAGATCCTTGCTTTTTGTGTTTTCTCTACATTTTATGGCTTCTCTAAAAAGGAGTAATTGCAGTTCTAAGTAAACATTTTAAAAATCATTTTAGTCTTTCAAAAACTCACCTTTCATATTGATTTTTCGCAATTCCTACTTTGAATTTTAAAAAAACTGAATAGAATACATTTTTTTTTTGCTTTTATTTATCTTTATGGAAGGCAAACCAGCTGAGTTTCCCACAGCTTGCACCAAGGTTAGTCTGACAGCCCATTACATCTTCATAACTTTTCATGGCAGAAATTTGTTAGATTTTCATTCTGCAACTTCATATTACTAGAAGCAAACGCCCTTTAAAATGAAAACGGCAGTGGCGGACAAAATATTTTAAAGTTGAAATGTTTATAGTTTACAGTTCAAAACAACTATTTAGATCAGTGGTTCTCAACCTTTTTAATGCCGCGACCCCCAACTGGTCGTAAGTTGAGGACTACCCAATCGGTCGTAAGTTGAGGACTTTCCCTGCCCGGTAGCGCCACACATGCGTGGTGCCGCCCCTTGCGCCGGCCGAGGTGTAGCTGGCAAACAGCAGAGACAGCGCAGGCCAACCATCGGCTGGGCCACCAGCTGGCCCAGCCCAAGGGAGGTAAGGCACCCGCCAGGCCCCACGCGCGCCAGCAACCCTCCCTGCGCCCGCCGGCCTACCACCTCCCACTCCTGGCCCTCTTTTACTTACATTGTTAGTAGTTGCTCAGCAGGGAGGGGTGGAAACTTCCAGACAGCTCGCCTTCGCTGCAGACAACTTGCAGCACCGTTTGCAGAATGGGACTTTTGGCGGGCTCAGTAGGGCAGAGACAGCCTGGACAATTCCTATTGGCTTTTGAAAGCCCATAGAATTAGACTCTATTCAAGAGAGTCTATTCTATTGGCTTTCAAAAGCCAATAGAATAAAAGGGAGTAGCACAGCTAAGGAAAAGGGGGGAAAAATGGCGGACTGCATTGTTTGGCGACTCTCGTGAAATGGTCATTCGACCCCCAAATGGGGTCCCGACCCACAGGTTGAACAACCACTGATTTAGATCTTTCTATAAATGTTTCTGTTCAGTTCAAACCAAATCTAATTCAAAGTAACCTCTTATAGTTCAGAACATTTCCAGAATTGTTGGAACAGCTTCACAACCCAAGATTGAAACAGCTACACACCTCAATAAAAACATTCCAATTTCATATACTTCACATGTGTTATTTGAATTCTAAGATGTCTGCTCTTAAATTCAGTCTTAGTAATAGCTGCATTCATATTTGATTGCTCTCTATCTTCAGGCCACATTCATTCTTATTTCCACCAATTAACAGATAAAACATAATTATTACAACATGTAACATGACAGTAGCCTGAGCTTTATGGAATATATAATAAAGTCTTTGCCTGAATGGGAAAAACTGCTGTGAACATCAAATTTCCTGATATAAGATCTCTTGGCTCACAAAAAAAGAGGTGTATGTCCTAATATACCACGAAGTAAGAAAATTCACTCTACTCTAGTTATACTGTATACAGCTATACTGTATACAATACTGTAGTATGGTAAATATACTATTGATACCTATGAATACCATTCTCTGAACAACTTTTCTACTCAAAATATATTAAGCATTTCTATAACTACCCTTTTAGGTTTGTAAGGAAATGGGAGAGAAAAAATTCAGGGGAAAAAAAAGCTTACATTGTACATGATATTCAAGATTAGTAAGTATACATGAAGGTATCACAGTTAGTGAAAACAATATTAGTAGTATGGCATTTTCTAGGCATGATTTGGTCACATTAACTTTTAAGAGTTTATTTTAGAATTGCGTTCCCAAACTCCAAGTGCATGTTGACTTTTGATACAAATATAAGCAAGCTTCAAACACTGAGTATACTTCACTTCTACAAGAAATCTCTTCTATAAAGAGGTCATATAAAAACATAGCTGTTCATAAAGTACTAAGTTGCATCTGGGAACTGGGGTTCTTCAAATTCTAGCCAGTATTTGACATATAACGCTGTGCTAAAAAGGAAATGCATTATTAATTCTTCTATAGGACTTGGGCATTTGTAATATGAAAATACATGGAAAAACATGTCTCCATTGCTGATCACTGTAAAATTTGCCAGGTAAGTCTCTTACAATCAACCCTGTTGATGAGAACATTTCATTCTCACATAATCTGGTGAACTGATACCAGTGCAATGATGAGAAATAAATTAAGTGATTTAGAGTCTTACTATTGCCATTCAAAAAGACGATTAGATTAGTAATGAAAAACGTAGATTCTAGCAGGCTCACAAATCATGTACAGATGTACATATTCATTCTAGTTTACTGAATTTGATCTTACATAGACTAAAAAGTACATGTTCAGCAAATAATACTGCATGTAGAGTAATTAAATGGCGTATCATAAAAACAGCAGTACTTCTCTCCCAATGTATGATGCATTTTTTAAAATATTGATAGCTGTCAAGGAAAACAAATCTATAACATAATTGGAACTAAAATTTTGGCTTCAGTGATTATATAACCCATTGGCCTGGATTTGCAGTAAAAAAGACAGCACGTACATACTCTATATCAGGGGTCCCCAACCCCCGGTCCGTGAACTAGTACTGATTCACAGCATGCCAGCTACCGGTCCGCACAAACAAGCAAAGCCCCATCCATGGGATACAGGCAGCACACAAAACCACGCACTCTCCGGTCCGCAGAAAAATCTTTCTCCATGGAACTGGTCCCTGGGTGCCCTAAAGGTTAGGGACCTTTGTTCTATAGTGCAATAATGCCTGTTCAGATAAATAAATTTCCCATCTATACTTTTATTAATTCATAGAAAATGAATTATATTTTATGTCCAAGTAGATATTTACAAAATATTGGTAAGAAATTTATCTATCAGTTAAAATATTGGTGCTCCTGGTAAGGAAAGAATCTGTATTTTGTGTAAGACTGAATATTAACACATGTACTAACCATTATGCAAAAAATAATTCAGAAGAATTGCTTTACAATTTGCACAAGACAGCAGCTCTCTGTTACTTATTACAGAGCTACAGTATGTCTCCTCCCTCCAAGGTTTCTATAAAGCCTAAAAGAAAGATATGGCTGCTTTAACAACTGGATACAGATACTATGCTTGTGAGACGTCTGAACTTCCTAATTTTGTTTGAAACATGAGGAGCAGTAATCTATGTTACATATGAAAGAGATTCAATATAGTCATGTGTATATTGGATCAAATATTTAATATATAGAATGGAACTCCTCTGCCACTCCTGGTTCAATGTAAAAAGTTGGGTGTCCACAATTTCTCTAGAATGATATGTGAGGAGAACCTGAGGTCAGTGTTTACTACATTAAACTAAGAAATTTCATTTAAAATAACTACTACAATCCTGAAGGATTATTGATTCCTGTACTGACCAAAATCAATGTATTGTTTTCATAACTGAAGATTTCAGTCAACGTACCTTATAGCAATAGATTGCCATTAACAGATGAAATAACCAAGTTTTAATTTCCAGATGTAAATCAGATTTGAATTCAGACTAATCCTTGATTTTAGATATAATAGAACTTAGCTAACTGAAGACTCATATAATCCAATCGGTACTTATTAACTGATCTGCGTCAAGATCCTAAGTTTAATTTAGTTTGAATAAACATGTACAGAATTGGACTATAACATTACAAACTGCTGTAGTCCTTGGCTTAGTTAGGTGGAAACATTACAGTACACTATATTTTACAGTCTGTGGAATGCTGAGCAATCAAGTGCATAAGCATAGGAAAGAGATTTCTTTTTTTAAAGGAATATCACCAAGTAGATATATATGACAGCAATTTCAGCAGAATTTTTACCAGACTCCAAAAATCCTCCTGAAAGCTGACGTCACAAATCAATTAAAAGCTTCATATCTCTTAGACCAGTGGTTCTCAACCTGTGGGTCGGGACCCCATTTGGGGTCGAACGACCATTTCACGGGGGTCGCCAAACAAGGCTGTCCGCCATTTTTTCCCCCTTTTCTTTGGCCACGCCCCTGGGACCCGGTGATACATAAGTGGTTGGGGGTCACCACAACATGGGGAACTGTATTTTGGGGTCGCGGCATTAGAAAGGTTGAGAACCACTGTCTTAGACAAAGGTTCTGTATAAAATTAATTCTCAAAAAGCTGAGAATGTTACAGAATACAGCTATCATTTTATAATAGCGAACCCACTTTACCAGTTAATTCCTGCAGAGAATCATGAACATTCAATATGTAATTATATGTAATTATATTTTTAAACTGAATCAAAAGAATACAGTAATTCTTTTCAGTAGATAGAACCTTCATATATTTTTATTGAAAACTATTTAAAATGTAGTTATTTCACTTTCTGAAGATCAAATAAGACTTCTCCATGGTTAGTGCTTTATACATCTATACATACACATCTTTTTTGAAATTAAGGCACTGTATTCACCTTACAAAGTACAGATCATTATTTCAGATGCATCAGCAAAAGAACATTCAGTTATACTTAGGAAGCCAAACGTGAGTTATTCTCATAATTCATTTAACATCTGTTAAAAATACTCAGACATTAAACCTGTAATTCTTGTACATAATAACCTATTTCTAGCACTTCGTAGATTTTATAGAATGAACCTTTTTAATACTTATTTTAAGATACAGAAATAATATGTTTTCTAGACAGCAGCATTACTATTGTACAAAATCACATCATCAGGTATGTTTTCCAGTAATAAAAACCTCATTGACTCCAGAGACATATTAAATCTATATTGCCTTTGTTTCAGTGGTTTTCAGGAATAAAATAGTGATGTTCACAAATTTCCAGTGTATTCATTTTTGAGATTCTTAGGATTTTAAGAATTTAAAATGAGAATTTCTAAGTTTCATTCATTCAGCAAAATGTTCACAAAACTTAAATATAGTCTTCTTTATATGAATTCCTTTCTTTAGAGCTGTAAATTTTCAAACTATAATTTTTTTGGAATTTCCAGTTAACTTCCTTGTTACAGTAAAACAATTTTGTTATACTGCATTTTAAACAGATACTTCAAAATTCTTATTAACACTGCTAAAAACTGACTACGCAGGGAACCAACCTGAAATTATATGGATGGAATGCTAAGTATTCAATAATATTCTATCATCAGATATATATAACAACTTTTCACGACTTTTTCCTTCTGTATATTTAAACTATATCTTGGTTTTTTAAAAAAATTTTTTTAAAAAACATTCTAAACATAGAATATTTCTTTACATATTTTTATGCATAGAATATTTCCTCTTTCTAAATGAGATTCTAAAAATGTGCTCAATTACATTTTAGAGTGAAGGTTTTCAAACATATAAAATAATTCTGGGTGTTATTTTGCTGGATGATTATCTTTCAATAACAACTTACCAGCTGCAGAACTGATTGTGATCTGTTCCCGAACGTTGGAATTTAAAAAACAGTCTGATGTTTCTATTATGTTTCCATTTTCACCATTTGATGTACAATTTACACCTGTTTTTCTCCTTTGAAGAGGGGTAGATAAGCTGGGCTCACTAACTGCATCCTCAGTAATATCAGTCACTCTTTTCCTCTTTCTGTTATAACGTGCATTTACTGGACTAGAATGTTGCAACATACTTTCTAATTTGCTTCTAGGAGAATTATACATCATTTCTTTATTATTCTGTAACTTTTGCTGACATGGAAGGAGGCTGGCTCTTATTTTATTTTTAGTAAAGTTAGAAGATGAAAAACAATCTTCAAAAGAAGTATCTTGATCTTTAGCAGACTTACTCGGAGTAAGCAACGCAAGCAAGAAATCATTCTGAGGTTCTTTATGTGATATAGAAGCCTTCAGTTTAAGGCTTGATTTCCTTCTATATTGTTGTTTACGAAGAGAAGAATTTTTAGTCATTACTGGAGTATCAATTAGATTAATTGAAGAAAAGTCATTCTCAGAACTACTGCTGCTGGTATTTTCAGTAAGTTCACAATGGACCAGATTTTTGGCAGAAACTGTTTGGTCCACATTTTTCACCTGAGGAAGGGGATGATCAGCAATGGCTAAAAACCAGTCAATACCATCTTTGCATTCTGGGGTTGAAGGCATTATTGACTTTTTGACAGGGAAATCACATCCTTTGTCATTCAGTAAGATTGAATTTTTATGTAAATCTTTACCACTCAATCGCTTTAGGCCTGTACGTTGAGAGTCCCTTGGAGAATCAGAAGAGGTATATAATTCAGCTCTGGAAACATCCATCACATTTTCAGTATTAGCTAAACAGTTCCTTGATTTTTTTCCAAGGTTCTCAGTTTCAGGACTTCCAACCAAATTGGCAAAACTTGAATTTAAAAGGTGATTACTCTCAAGTTCTGTAATCAGAAACAGTTCATTATTGAAAAGCACACTTTATTTTATTTTTTTAAAAAATGAATATGAATTAAAAAAAAAACTAGAGTAAGATAAAACATTGAAATGGACCACCAGCAAAAAGAAGGGAAATGGCTATGCATACATATACAGGTAACTGGGAACAGAACATCCCCTGAAATAACTCTACATGCTTCCAAAGACACACTTGCTTCACTGATTTGAAGAGGGGTTATTCAATCACTCCACCATTCTTTGTGAAATGCCCTTTGCAAATATTTTGTTCAGTCAGTAAAAACCAGATTGTCACTTTTGATGCTACTTGTCCAAAGACCAAATCTGCTCTTCCATAATACTCTGGCTATTCTCAAGTGGAACTTAAGGGACCCATAGTTAATACCCACCATTTTGATGGAGCATTAATGGGTGAATTCATTATTGTACATTCATTGTTTTTTCTACAAAAAATAAAATATTTCTATATAGCAGTGTATCTTTGTTTGAAATAAGCCTAATTAGGCCTAACTTATTTTTGTTTGAATATCAAATATATATAGTTATATTTAATTAAAGACAAGGGATGATATCAAGGAGTTCAGGCATAATGAATTGAATCATTTATGTAATTGTTTTAAAAAATGGGATAGCTGGGACTCCTCCCCAAGATGGCTGCTAAATGGTAGGAACTTTTCTTTTTCCTGCCAATGATCTGTTGATTTTGCTCTCAGAGTTGATTCTTTGGCAGTGCTGCTCCCTGGATCCAAATGGGAGCCCTTAGGAATGCCTCAAGATAGCTTTTGGATGGCCACGGACCCCCTGGGAAGGGAAGTCTTGAAGATTCCAGTTCCCTTGGGAGCGGTTGGAAAGTCACCAGTTATTCATCTTCCTCTCGGCAGTTCTGTTTTTTAAAAACATGCCTGGGTTTTAACTTTACTTTATGAAGCTTTTGTTTCAATTTGCTTTCAAAACTTGACCAGCTGGTTGAATGCTGAATTATTTTAATTCCCTGCTTGATTTTATTTGTTCTTTTTTTCCTTTTCCCTTTGATTTATGTTGTTGCATAAGTTTTGCTTTTCTGTAAGGAAAACATGGCGTGTTCCTGAGTAGTGGAAGTACTTTCATTTGATTTACATCTACATAAGATTCTCACTACAGAGTTTTTGCATTTTACCAATTGGCAAAATGTTTAGAGGTTAATTTTTTAATTTTTCTTTTAACTTTGGATTGAAATATCCAGAAAATATCTTGTTTCTTTTTCTATTTCTTCTCTCTGAAGAAATATTACTTCAATGCCTGTGTTCTCTTATCTATGGTTGCTAAGTTACACAGAGCAAAAATGTATCAGATTATAAACAAATGGGGATGACATCTGGAAAAAGATCATTTGGTAACATGCAATCCCTAGTTGACTTTTTTTAAAAAAGTTTGATGAAATGATAAATGCTGTAGAAAATACTTAGATAGATGTAGCTCTAGATATATTAGACTCACAAAAAGAATGTGATCTGAAAGCAGGAAATTTGGTGGAAAGCGAATATGGATTTTACAGACTTAGAACTAATTGAGTTGATTGCACATGCCTCCCTGAAGTTCAAGCCTCCATTCTTTTACAACAGCAGAAACTTGACGGAGTGGAGAAGTGATAAATTGGTTTTCCCTAAGGAGATTGGAGACACATTTCACTGGAAAACAATTTCATCTGGACGTTTTTAGGAAGATCGACTGATTTTGGAGATTGGATTTGTTATATTTAACCTAACAATTGATAAGAGATGGTATTAAGAACAAATGTGGATATTTGATCCAAGACGAATTTGGGATAGATAGGAAGCCATGGTAAAATTTCTACAAGTCGATTATAATAACAGTTCGTTAACAGAGGGTTTTGAAACATTGATCTTGCCTTTTTCTATTATTATTGTTCTTGTTAATTATTTTGTCATTAATATAGCATATAGATGACAGGTTAATAAACTGCAAATAGATTTAACAGGTGGGAAACTAATGTTGTTGTAATATATTAATCAATATTCAACTAGAGGATATAATATGTATATATGTGTTAGGTTTTTTATGTCTTGTTTTGTGTTTTTTCTTTGTTTCTTTTTAAAAAATTTTTTGGGAGTTTTGTATTTTAACTTTTTTTAATAAAATAAAAATAGAACAAGAAAAAAAATTATAAATAAAAAATGGGACAGTTCCACCAATTGTTTTCTTGTTTACACTGACCTGATACTAAATTTACTAATACTAAGATTCATTATCTGGATCAGAGTAGACTTCCATTTTCAAGTAGTCTTGGGTTCTGATTGCCTCTTATTACATGATATTAACAATATTTTAATGAGACAAAGAATTATTAAGCACGCTGAAACTAGCTTATGCATATACCATAACTAATTTATTTAGATTCATGCATACAGACAAATAGCGGTGACTTCAAAACAGAAACTTCAATTTTCCTTCCTTCAACTTTGAAGACAGGAGAGAAGGAACCTCAAGAGCCAAATAATTATTTGCCAAACACTAAACTATGCATATTGTATTAGAAAAGAATATCAGCTTAGTTATTACATTGCTGTAGATTGTTCTTTCATTATTTAGATGTTTTCCTTGGTATTTTAATATTTTAAAATCATTCTGTTTTAAAATATTTTTAAATGTTTGCAAATAGCATATTTAAGTGTTTTTATATATTTGCAGATTGCCCTAGGGAAGGAACATAGTTCCAAAACTCATTGGGCAGAAATAAGACACATATCAAATAAATCTCCTTGACAGTTCATGAGAACCACTCTCTTTTGTCTAATCCTGCCGTCAATGTCGTCCATCTTTTTTTGGTGTTTCTCCAAACTGGGCAATCAGTTTCCATGTTCGGATAAAACAGGAAGCTTTAGTTAACTGAAGAATGTGAGTGTAATCATTCTGCACCATGAAGAGAAATAGGGAGGGATTCTGTCCTATATATATATATAGATATCAAGATTTGAGCCAAGACGTGATTGCAAAGACATCATTTCTAAATCAGCAATAAAAAGCAGGTGAGCCCAACAGTTCAAACACAGAACTAAAAATACATATGGATGCTCCAATAATTACTATATTAGTAGAGCTCTTTTTAATAACAATACTAGCACTATCAAAACAATAAAACATACTAGGAGCATTGATACTTTTTACAGCAGCATTTTTCTTCAATAAAATATTCCATAGATTCCTTATCTGTTAAGAGAGCACTACAGGGTCATTCAAAATATTTATTTACAGTATTATCAATTACACATAACTGCTGGATATTTTTGAATGTGAACATTTAGATTTTATTTACATTTTTTTTCTTTTTTCTTTACCTGGAGTCAATGCTGAAGTTGATGTGGTAGACACAACAGCAGGATCAGTGTCAGACATCTGAGATAACTGTGAAGCTAAAATGTGAATTATTAGATTTTTGTTGAGTAAGTAATTCGCAAAGACATTTAGGGCCAATATTAATAGGTAGTTGCATATTCAATACATGTATGTTCTTACAACATTTCATTACAGTGCTTTTAATATTTTGAATGCTCTGGTATTAAAAATCTACAAATTCTGAGGATTGCTTTATGCCATCATACGAAGCCATGGTAAGAGCTCAGCACGCTACAGATAGGAAACTACCACATAAATGAAACAGTGAGACTTCAACTTAACATGTCATCTGAATGATACATCCCATCTAATCAATGTTGGCAGGGATTTTAAAATATTTATTTATGGTTACATTCATTTGTTAAGTTTGATAAATTCTGATTTCAGGCCAATAAATTCAAATATGTCCAATATCTTGAAAGAAGCTTTTCCATCTCAAAAATGTATTGTTCAAGTTATCACAGAAATAAATAAAAAAAATCTTTCTCAGAAATAAAGCATTTCTATTTTCAAACCTATTCCAAAAATCTTAAGATTAACAATATGAATATATTTTAATGTAAAACAATATACTGCATTTCCTTTGAAGACATTTTCACAGATGAAGTGTTGCCACCTTCCCCAATTTATAGTAAACATACATATCCATCACACAGGATGTCCCTGATATAAACGAGCAGTAACAACATTCGTCTAATTGTTAAATACTGTATTTAGCCTTTCTGCACTTTTTAAAAATATATATATATATACAATTACTCCCTGGGCAAACCACATCTATATTTTAATACTTCTCTATTTCCCTATTACTCTATTTTCTCCTATAGTGTTACCATTTTCTAATGTCTTTGCAGCACTTATGACTTTTTTCATGTCTGCTTGAAGACATTTATAGTATTCCTTTAAATTCCATTCTTCAATATATCAGTATTGTTCCCATTTAAAATGTGTAAAATTTATAGAATTCCAGCATTCCCCCACTACAGTTTTATACAAAAGCTTTTCAACAGTTTTATTTCTAATTTCAATTTCTTCTGTTGAAAATATCTAGTTTTTCATTTCATTAGGGCAGTGGCAGCCATAACTGAAGAAACTTTTATTTAATCAATCTATATCAGGGCTTTTCAATCTTTTCACTCATTGTACCACTTTTGGGATATGGCAATATCCGAGTACCACCAGTCGCCTAGCAAGGTGCCAAAAACTTGATGATAAAAAAAAAAAAAGGAAAAAGTGATGAAGTACAGGTAGTCATTGACTTACAACATTTCGCTTAGTGACTATTCGAAGTTACAATGGCACTGAAAAAGTGCCCCCCAAGCCACAGCCAAGCAAGACACTTGCCTGTCCACCCGACGGTGCTCTCGCTCCTAGCTGAGGTTTTCATTATTGTGAGCATTTCTGTTGAGGATTGGCAGCAGGGGTGGGGTGGGAGATGTTTGGTTTTTATTTCCCCCGTCTGCTGGGTGGTTGCAGCAGGTTTTGGTCACTTCCCATGACGCTGGGACACTGTGACCATCATAAATATGAATCAGTTGCCAAGCATCTGAATGTAAATCACAAGACTCTGGAAATGCTGCAACATTCCAGCTGATCGGTGCTTCCTCTGGGCTCACCAGAAGCACCAGGATCAGCGCCGAGCTCCAGCTGGAGCCTGGCACTGATCCTGATGCTTCCACTGAGCCCTGACAGTCCAGAAGAAGCACTGATCCTGGCGCTTCCGCTGAGCCCTGTCAGCCCTGCAGCTCCAGCTATCTCTCGCTCAGGCTTGTGCGGTGCTGCCACCAGTTCAGCTCATTCCCCTCCCCCACTACCACTTTTCTGGGATGGTCGCGTACCACCTGCCAGGTTGAAAAGCCCTGATCTATATATAGGCACCAAGTTCAAAAATGACTGGACAGGAAACAGTGATAAAACCACCCTACATCCACCCCAATGTCTAAAAAAAAAAAAAGTTTGATTATAAAAATCAATAACATTGATTTGTTAGGTCTAGAAAAAAAAATACATTTCAGCATATGATTATCCTATTATTTCAGAAGTTCTATTTATAATTGTTCAAATAATGAATGAAGCAAAAGAGACCAAAATAAATCTGAGGGGGAAAAAAGATGCATTTCTTTATTAAAAGAATATATAGATTCAATTTCATTTTAACAGCCAATTCTCTAACAAGGATGTGATGATAGGGGAGGGGGGAATATTGGCAAAATGGAACTAATACAGATAAAAATCCAGCAATAAAAGAAAATAATTCTGCATCCTACAAATGAAAAACAATGTTTATCATCATACCAGTAGGGGAAACATTTTCTCTTTTCTCTTTCATGTCCTTTATTCTTTTCTCCATTATACTGCATTGATACTTTATTTTACTTGCTGGGCTGTACACCAGTGAACCATCATCTTCAAATAATAAAACTGGTATGTCTGTTTCTAAAAAATGGTAAATCAGCAATAGAATTTTAGATTTAAGAAGAAAGAATATATACAATATTTTGAAAGGGTAACATTTGGAGCTTGGACATTATTGTAACATTCTGAAAGTTTAAAAATAATCTTAAAAAGAGAGATCTATATTAAAATGCTGCAACATATTAGGATCTTCCAATAATAAAACTTTTGGTCAATTCTAACCAATTAGACAGAATAATCTATTCTTTTACCTGTAATGGATACTTATAAATACCTAATTTATTATAGTTCAACAGTCTATTACAGAGACATGTGCAACAAGATGCTCTTATTTTTTCAAAAATGTTGTTCTAGTTTTATAAAAAAACTGGTTAGTACTTCTGCATAGTCTTATTTTTTATTTTTCATAGTAACTAAGTGTACTGTATTTATTACTGACAGTTGCCCAATATTTGGAGTCAGAGAGAATATTAATATAATACACAGAATCTGCAGAATGGAAACTTACTTTATACACAGATTGCTTCTAGATAAAGCGTAACACTTAAAAAAGAAACAAAAAAATATTTCAAATATGTTATTTGTTTTGCAATACCCTACAGCAATCCACGTTATGAAAAGGTTTTGAGCCTAAATTGTGGGCTCTGATGTTCCTTTTAAATTTGCATGACAAATTTGGAGAATGTATTAAACATTACTTTTTCTATTCAAAGCTAATGCTCTGGATAGTTTATATATGACCTTTCTTCTGTCTCCAAAAAGTATAAAAGATTACTGTTATTACCTTATTTGAGTATAGCTGAACAACTTCTTCCCCAAAGGAATATGAAAAAAGTCTGACCCTTGATCTCTCCTCTAGGTTCAAGGCAAGATACTGGCAGTCCTTGACTTATGACTGGTCAGTTAAAAACCATTTGAAATTACGACAGGCCCATAAAGCACTTCTGATTGTCATAAAATGTTGTGCCATCCCCCTCCAGTCATGTGATAGTATTTTAGGGTGCTTGATAACCAGCTCATCTTTACTACTGGTTGCAGTGTCCCATGGTTATGCGACCATAATTTGCGACAGTTTTTGCTTCTGGCAAACAATGCCTATTTAGAAGACACTTACAACTGCAGCATTAATGACTATGAATTTTTTTTAATGGTCACAGTGATTTATTTAATGACCGCTGCAAATAATGTTGTAAAGTCAGGCAGTCACTTAGCTGCCTCAACATACGATCGTAAATCCAGTCCCAACTGTGATTGTAAGTCAAGTACTATCTATAATAAGAAGAGAGATTTGGGAACTGGTGAGAAAAAATGGTGAAGTGTGTTTTCTTTATGTTAATCCTTCTCTCCCCTCCCATAAAATATTTCAGTAGATGGAGGTAAGAAAGAAGGCTCAAGAACACCCCTCCTTCCATGTTTTATATTTCTCTATATATTTCACAGTGATCTTCCACTTTTTAACATTAGCTCAAGGAGCTATTATGAAAATTATGCTCCAGTGTCACCATATTTTAGCATTATTTTTCAGTGCAAAGGGTAAAGAGATTTAACAGTGCAAATGGATCATATACTTGCCTGTTGCTGTTCTTTGCATTTCTAATTCTTTAACCATAGTTTCCATTCTTTTTTGTAATCTACGATCTTTCTCTGGAGTTTTTCCAAATAAATCTTTGGGCTGCATGCATTTGTGCTACAAAATAAAGAGTCATTACATTGATCTGTAAGCTTTGTAATACCGGTACTTTAACATGAAGCACTAGAATTCTCCTTACTGCACCAATTCTACAAAAATAAAAAGTACTTTTCACACATCACTGTAATATTTGTATTGAAGTATCTCCACATGATGCAATATGTTTTCAAATGAAAAACTGGGGCCAAAACAAAAGATGAATGGGATTATGGCAACCAGCAGCTTCTTGCAGATTTTATCAAATTAAATTTTTACTAGCAAATCATCTCAAGTTAACAGACCAAACTACTTTAGTCGTTTTTGATTTCTATGTCTTACATTAATACATTGGAATCTGAGAAAATACTTAATCCTTTAGTCAATGAAGGCTTTTAAGAGCAATGTGAAATAAAATTAAGAATTGCACTTAAAATAATAGGTCACTATATATATATATATATATTGTATATACAGACCTTTTTAATAAACTGAGGCAACCCTTCATTAGTATTTATTGCAGGATATAATGACTCATCAATATGTATTCCAACTTCTCTGCATCTGAGAAAGCATTAAGAATATACATTTGGTTTAGCGTTAGACAGATTTATTATTATTAATGGTTCTAAGTGAATGAAACCTTTCATATTTCTAACAAATCATGCTCAATTTCATACCATGTCTATTTTATCTTTACCTTATCTTTATCTTACTAAGATCCCAGAGAAGCAAAGCTTGCCCAGAAAATCCAGGTCAACAAATAAACCACTTGTTTGCTTATAAAAGTCACATTACAGATGCCATGTTATATTCATGTTGAGATGGATGAAGATAGAGCACACAACTGTAAAAGAGCTAGTGGGCTACACATTAGATAGGAAAAAAAACTGTAAAGGCAGAGGTCACATTCCTCAGTTTTGCTGGCAGTCGGAGCCTAAGACCAAGGCTTTATAGCAGGACTTAAAATGTCAGTCAGGTCAGTGATTCTGCTTTACATTCTGAGAAGTGAAGGCCTTCACTTCTCTGATCCCTCCCATGAGTGTATCAAAATTTCAGTTACAGACAACATAGAACAAACTATTCCTTGAGTTGACAATTTTCTGGCTCAGTACCTCAGTTCTGAAAACTTGAAAAATAAAATAACCCAGTTGCCTACAGCAGCCTCTTGCTGCCAGGCGTAACCGTAAATCCATATTTATAAGCACGCCAAGAAGTTACAATTCTCTGTCATGCTTGATCTAATCAAATCAGCCAGGACAAACTGGAAAACTGAACATTACAGTCATTATAGTAACAGAGAACAAGGCGAAATAACTGCCAAAGAGATGTTTCTTTGCTTTCCATAATCTTTCCCAAGGATTCATAGCCTGATTATAACATTTAACATAATTTATGGGTAACTTACAGGACATCTAGTCAGACGTCAGACTATGTATTATACAAGTGTAAAACTTCCAAACATAAAGTGACCCTTAAAAGTAATTCTATAGAACAAATCTGGATATAAATTGCTTAGCATCTGAATATTTGCTGAAATATTTATTACTGTGTTAGTGTAGAACAGTATTCTTCAAGAAAACTGTATGCCTCAATTCCAGAAATCTGAAACAAGTCTTCACTTACTGACTATTCATTCAGTGACTCCTTGAAGTTATGACAGTGCTGAAAAATAATTTTATGGACCATTTACAATCTTTACAGCATCCCTCAGTCACATGAGCACCATTACAGTAGTATGAAGAGTCCTGTGCCTGACCTATGTTTTTTTTCTCTCCTGCTGCACAGCAGAGATATTGGAAAGAAAGGGATTTTATTTACTTATTAAATTTGTTTGTTGACTTTGATTGCAAGAGAATAAACTGTTTGCTCTTCCACACATTGAAAACAATGTGATTGCACTGGCAGCCTGGGGCTGAGAGCTCCAGATAGCCTACTCAAGCAGCTTACAGTATTCTCTTGAAATCTATTCCTCTCCAATCTCTGTATTTGTGAGGAGGGGGAGGGGAGGAGTGAGAAAAAAAGCAAACAGTTTCTGTAGGCAAGGGGTCTTCAAACTTGGCCTTTTTATGACTTGTGGACTTCAACTCGTGCCTGGCTGAAGAATTCTGGGAGTTGAAGTCCACAAGTTATAAAAAGGCCAAGTTTGAAGACCCCTGCTGCAGGCAATCTGTCCTTTGCCTGACCCTTTTGCTTTTGGCATGATCACATGGCTTCCAACATGTAGCAGAGAAAACAGCTTATTCTCTTGAAATCTCTTCCTCTCCAATCTTTCTGCTCTGCTGGGCGGGGGGGGGGCAGTGCTACAGTACTTTATACTGTTTACAAATATAAACATTTTTGTTATTTTACAACATTTATTACACATAATTTGGGTTACTTACCAAAATACCACTGATTCAGTGGTATTTATAAAAATAAATTTCTTTTACAATGTTTCTCATTTTTATTTTAAATTAATAAATTGTTAGTTTTGTTTTTAATATTTGCTACAAGCTGCTCAACTCTAATGAATATTGCAACACTTCATTTTGTCTACTTAAGAGAAACGGGGGTAAAAAGTGAATACTGGAAACAGAGAGAACCATCAGAGTATTAGTAAAATAACGATATGTACAAAAAATGTACACTGTTATTCTCTGCCATATCAAGAAGAGATAAAAAGCACTAGTGAAAAAATTGAAAAAGGGCTCAGAATACAAATACAAAATCTTGTCTAATTTGTAATTGTCCCATCTGTTGATATGTTATTGACCTTGTGTACTTCTAAATACAGTTTTATTTCTTTCACAGAAAAATATAGGTAGTCCTATATTGAAGACTGGAATTTCCATTGTAACTCAATATAACTGGTCCTAATTTTATGACCAATGGTCATAAAGTGAGACACTGTTGTTAAGTGAATAACATGGTTGTTCAGCCAATCCACTTTCCCCAATGGCTATTTTTTGCTGGAATGGCGAAAAAAATTGGAAACCAGCAAAAAACTTGCAAATCACAATCATATGACCAGGACACAGCAACCAGTTGTAAATATGAGCTGGTTGCCAAGGGACTAAATTGCAATCATGTGATCATGGGAATGTACTGCGATGGTTGGAAGTCCTTTACAGGCCATAAAGCACCCTCTTCTAGACTGTCATAAGTTCAAGTTATTGTCAAATATATGTACCTGTATAGCAAATTTAGAGTCTGATTATCTTACTCCATTGAACAGTTATAAGTCGAGGACTACTTGTACATTAAATTTAAAACCACAACACTGGAAAATGTTTCAATATATATAGGATATTCTAGGAAACAAGAAAACACCATGATCCTCAGAAGCCAAAAAAGTTGTACGCAAAATGTAAGGTCCTTTTAGTTAGCTACAACTAAAAGGACCTTATATTTTGCGTACAGCTTTGCAGTGTCCCTTATAGTCTTGGGATCACAATTTGAATATTAAGTGATTGGCTCATAATGATATCACAGCATCCTGTGATTGCCATTTGCAATTTCCATTGCGATTTGACAAGCAAAATCAAATGGCAGGAGCCATCAGGAAATGGTGATCATGCAACCACAAAGATGCAGCGACCATGGTGGTGAGATTCAATTAATAATGGCAACTGGGACTGCTGTCTTGGGTCAACACAGTCATGTGACTGTATCTTACAACCATATGGCTTAGCAATGATGTTGCAGCCTCAATTACCATGTGCAAGCAAGGACTATCTGTAAAGCTATGAAAACATGAAATTTGCAACAAAACATTGAAAGACACTAGCAATGGGGTTTTAGTGACATCTAGTGATCTTACAGATGCAAACAATATATAGCATTCTACACAAGAAATTTGACATACTTTACTAGTAAAGATGAAAACTTATATGCCACAAAAATATGACTCTCAGGATTTTAGGTACAATACAGGTTTAAATCATAATTCTAAACAGCATATGTGGTCATTCTAATCTGAATTGGTTTTTCTTTCTTGCATTTTTTGTGGTAAGCTTCAGTTTAGGTATTATGTCTTTATTAATGGAGTATGTGATGCACAAAACAAAAAATCAATCATTACTATAAGAGCTCTCATCAATCAAACAGCAATGGAGAGCTAAGCTCAATGGAGAGCTAAGCTAACTTCTGAATCACAGTAATGCAGTTTAAGAACTTTAATAAAAATATTATGAAATTCATCTTTTTAATTATGCCTGTAACAGTCTAGTATTTTCTTGGAAGATTAGAAGTTTAAATGTTATATTTAAAACATATTTGTAATTAACTTCAATTTTATTACAACTTCTCAATTGGCAGCAGGATATATTTATCAAAGCTTCTACAGTGATGCAGACCATTGCTTTATCTTATCCATTATTATTACCATTGGCTATTAATTTATTCTCTGCCAGCAATTCAAGTAGCTTTTTACCCAGTGCTTCAAGCTGGTTGAAGCTATGCTGAGTTTAGAGCACACATACACAACTATTGAGCTAACATGCCTTCTACAATGCAATTCAGATTTGTAGCCAATAGTTACTCCTTGCATTCTATTCAGATATAACATTATATAATGGGGATATTTGAAATCCACATTGATTGTACTAGTATTATTCTTGTAATATTTTCCCCTCTGGTATATTTCTAAACACCACTACTTACTTTTCTACCCAAAGTACTGACACTAGTTTAATTCCAGCTTTTTGAGCTCTATTCCACGTAGACAGGAATCCATCTTTAAAGATCACATGAGTAACTTGTTTATTCAAAGTCTTAGAAATCTACAAAACATAAATGAATCAAGCATTTTAAAATATTTGAAAATACTTAAGATTCTTCATTTCTACTGAAAAGTGAGTTTTGTGCTTTTCGTAGGTAAGCAGAAAATTTGTAGATTTTAAAAGTGACAATAATTAATTCCTTCAATACTCTGTATCTATTAAAGAGTGAACAGGCCAAGAGGAAGAAGATGACTAAGAAAATAAATCGAGATGATGCAATCCTTAAAGACAGGGACATATTAAACTTAAAGAAAAGATACACAAATTGATATAGATATATAGTAAACAGGAAGTTAGTTTGCAAAAAAAGAATAGCATGGAAAGATATAGTGCAGTGGTCTCCAATCTTTCTGGCTTGGCAGTCTGGTGGTGGGGGAAGAGAGGATGGTTTTGTGTGAATGGAAGGCGAGCACAAGGACACACAACTCCAATGGCTGAAGTGGTGGGTGCATGGGCCTGCCGCTTGAACAAATGGAGCTTTGTGCACAAGTGCCCTCTATTCACACAAGGTAGTGGGCTGTGAGTAGAGATCCTGATATAGTGAATGGTGTGATTGTGAGCTAAATTTAATTAGCTTTCCTCTTCTATTAACTCTTACTTTCCTTTTTTACCATTTTTTATTCCTTTGAGATTCATATGCTGTAGCTTACTTGATAAATAGCCATGGTGGATGTATTGTATATACTTTATGCAAGGTATATAAAAGGTAGTTGGAATTAAAAAGAAACAGACAATATATAAAAAAGGAATATGAAATTACTTAGCCTTAGTTGCAGTCTGGTATTGGAGTAGGATGTAGCTCAAAGACTTCATGGAGACTTTATGAAATCAAATTAAAGATTAAGCTATCCCGTATCTTTGAATAATGTGCAATCTTTGAATGTCAAGAACACTTTAGCAAGCAAGATGTTATAAATCAGCAGCAACAAAAATAAGGAAACTATTTGCTTTCTTATATCTCCAGTATTTAGGTGTGGGAACACCACAAAAGCAAGCAAATAAAACAACTGATGGAGTTGCTTCACAAAGGAGTTTTGAAAGGCAGCTTTACTTGAAGTTGACTTAAGAAAAACATCACTTTTAAACTTTCTATAGCTGTTAAGGTTACCTGATTTGGGTTCCATTAAATATCTCCAGTTTTTTTGATGTAGAAATTGCCTATTTTCTCTACAACTACTGAAAGATTTTGCTTGTTGGTGAGCAACTATTTTGGTTCCTTCATCTCAATAGAGACTGGGGAAAGCACTGGTGAATTCTGAAATCATTTCAGTATCTGCCTATTTATATCTTTAATATCAATAGAACTGAAATGACCTATTCACTCACACATTCGGCTACAACATAATTTGCTCGGATTAAGTTTAGACTATTCAATCTCTGCAGTTTCTGAATCACGCTCTATATTTATGCATGTTGTGCCTTATTAAAAAAAAAGTTAAATAAAACTATGGACTAATACATTGTATACCAACCAGCTTAGTTACTTACTTTTGCTCCCATATCAAGGAGCTGTTGAGTAAAGGCTTTTGAGTAGTTTTCTGTTCTGCTGGATGACCATACTTCAACATATGCTACAACACCTACAAATTAATTATGAGAGAAATATTAATGTTGGGACTACCACTTTTTAGATGCAAATCTTTAATTATTTGAACGGCATACTTCACTTTCTCATAAGCAGCAAAGACCGAAGATAAGGCATGTTAAATTCAGTATAATTTTAACCCAAATACATAGATTACAGATTTATCTTCTATTATACACCATGCAGTTACTCCAAAACCATTTTTATAAAGACTAAGTTGGATTGAAGACAATGTACTGTTTTCAAAGTTATCATTGAATGCACTTTCACTTTTGTTTGTTGAAATCACATTTCAGAAACAACTTCTAAATTTTTGACATCCAAATAGTGAAGAATCTTCTTATTTGGATTTTAAATCAATTGCCTACAAATGAAGCTTTCCTGGTGGCATGGAGTGTCTTTTTGTAATGCAATTGGTGGACACCAGCATTGCTCCAACTCCAATTTGATCAAAAATTATTATTGCTTTAAGAGCAATAAGGACACAAGTACTATTTTTTTTCTCCAAATGCCTAGAATCTTCCACACCAGTTTGTAATTGTAATTGTAATGCATAGAATTTTTAAATGATTAATGGTTGAAGGATAAAGAACCATTTATTTTTTAAAAAAAATTACATTTACCTGCATATGCATTTTTTTTTCCTACATAAAACTTAAACAATTTTTTTCCCCAGAGAGGAAACCTCACTAATCTGTGGCCCTAGAGAAGCAAGGAGGCATCTGAGATTATATCTAAGCCAAGTCTACAATTGTACATTTCTTATGCAGAATGAAGCCCTTGTGTATTTAGGAAAGCAGTAAAAAAGAACCTGCTTGGTGCTACACTAGCTTATCTCCTACCCACTTTAGGTTTATGCATGTACATTATATGTAAAATTTTATGTACATTAAAAAATCCTAAATTATTCGTTTTAATGTTTTATTGGATTTATTAAATTGTACACCGCGCAGAGCACCTATATGAGGAAGATGGGCGGTTAAGAAGCTCGATATGTAAATAAATAATTATTAAGTTTTTCCTATAACTGCGACTTCCTAGTCAGTGTGGCGCACAGCCGGGTCGGAAGTGCTGGCAAAGGTGGACTCCACGCACGTGAAGAACCGATCGAGGAAAGATGAAGATGTGCACCACTTCTTCCCATTTAGTTACAAAACAATCAACTCTTCTTACTTCAGGCTCCCCTTTTACCTCTTCAACACCCCCAAAAAACGACGCACAGCTAACGTGTAAAGAAATAGTCTTTCCTTCCCACATCCCCTCCTTTTCGCTTTCTTTTTTCAAACCCGGCAAAGACCGTGCCCGCCTCATGTCTGTACCTGCCAAAACAGGCCGACCGTTGCGAAGGTCCATTCTAACGGTTTAAACGAACTCCGCGCTACCGTTTAAACGGCCTTCTGCTACGGGCGCATGCGCAATACAAAGCAAGATCTCTCTCTCTCTCTCTCTCTCTCTCCCCCACAATTCGTTTCTGCGATTGCCTGGTGAGACCATAGAAATAATAATAAAAAAGTGGACTTTTCCTATCTCTATGATGAGAGATACGTTGCTCCACCCACCCGGGACGCATGCGCTCCACTTAAGAATTGAGGTCGGGGGTGGGGCGAAACGCAGCCCGCTCAGCTGGATTGACCCCCCCCAAGCGATCCTGTGTGTGGAAAGAGGCGGTCGTCACAATTGATTTTAATTTATGTTAAAGCATAATTTACAAATCCTCATGATTAGATTCACACGCGCGCGCGCTGTAAACAGTTGGGCTGGAAGTTTCTTCGCTCCTGGCAGTTGTCCCGATTCGTGTAAGTTTTAGCAAGCCAGATACGCCTAGTTTCCTGGTACCTTTATTACAAATGGATTATGGCATCGTTCGCTTTCGGGGACTGCATATACAGCTGGTCCTCGATTTACAATATTTCATTTAATGACTGTTCGAAGTTATAATGGTACTGAACAATGTGACTTATGACCATTTTTCATACGATCGTTGCAGTATCCCCATGGTCATATGGTCAAAATTTCAGATGCTTGACAACTGGTTCATATTTATGATGGTTGTAGTGTCCTGGGGTCATATGATCTCCTTTTGCAACCTTCTGACAAGCAAAGTCAATGGGGAAGCCAAATTCACTTAACAGTCATGTTGCTAAACAAAATGATTCACATAACTGAACTGTGTAAAATAGGATAAAACTCACTTAACAAATGTTTCACTTAGCAACATAAATTTTGGGCTCAATTGTGATTGTAATTCAAGGACTACCTGTAATTTTCCCCTCACATGTGCAAATAAATGTAAAGCAATTGTTGTATCCTTCCCTCCTCTGTTGAGAGAAGGCTGTTCAATTTTGACATAGATGGCCTCTTTGACCCCTCTTTCAAACCAGTGGTCCTCTCTATCCAGAATGTGGACTTTGCTGTCTTTGAAAGAGTGGCCTTTGTCTTTTAAATGCAGATGGACTGCTGAATCTTGTCCTGATGGGTTTGTTCTCCTATGTTGTGCCATGCATGGTTGTTTTGTTTCCCCAGTGTACAGATCTGTACATATCTCACTGCATTGTACTGCATATACCACATTGCTTAGTTTGTGTCTGGGTGTTTTATCCTTGGGGTGGACAAGCTTCTGCCTTAGTGTATTCTTGGTTTAAAGTGTGCACATATGTTATGTTGGCTGAAGATCCTCCTGAGTTTCTCAGATATTCGAATAGATGATTCAGACATCCCCACCGTTCAATCAGAATTGAAGAAGCTTCTTGGAGGAGAAGCGAAACTTCTTCAAAGAAAAACAAGAAAATCTCTAGTTGAAAAAAACAACTTGAAAAAGCATTTTTGGGACAACCATGACATGGATGACTAAAAATCTCCATAGACAATATATTGCCATGTTTTTAAATTGTGGGGTTGGAGAAGACTCTTGAAAGTCCCTTGAACTGCAAGGAGATCAAATCAGTCAATCCTAAAGGAAATCACTTCTGACTATTCTTTGGAAGGACAGATACGTGACGCTCAAATCTCAAATGAGAAGAGAGGACTCCTTGGAAAACACCCTGATGTTGCAAAAGATGGAAGGCAGAAGAAGAGGACTGCAGAGGATGAGGTGTTTAGACAGTGCAATTGATGAATTTGAACAAACTCCAGGACAGGGAGAGGGGGCTGGTATGCTATGGTACATGGGGTCACAAAGTCAGACAACAATTCCCACGTTTTATAATGTCGCCCAACACTAGTTCCCATTCTGAGCTAGAGCCCAATTGAAACTCTTGCTGATGAACTTTACAGCTCTCTGATCACAGTCCCCCAATATCAGTTTTCCTTTATTTTGCCCTACAACTTGGGTTGCTCTTTATTTCTTATTTTTGTTTTCCTGATCCAGAAAAATGGAGTCTAAAGCTAGCTTTGTGGTTTCAGGGACTTGGCTTTGGGATTCTGAATTCAGCTGCCTCCTTCCCTTGACCTCCGTGAAAATCTCAGAGATCTAAGGATCTTTTCATTTCACGAATGAGTTCATGTGAGGCCTACCATCAAAATTGCTAATATCCAGGTTGTATTTATTTCACAGTATATTAATCATGGGTGTGTGTGTACACTTTTCAGGACCAGAGGATATTCTTTGAAAACTACACATATGATGTGTTAGATTTGTTTTGGCTACAAATATTAGTTTATCTCAGTTATTAAATTGTGAACTATTGCATTGAATTTTACAGCTATTATTTTTCTTTATACTGGACCTTGGCAAAAATGTGCCATCACCACCTGCTTCCTTCCCTTCCTGGAATGCTTTTCTTTATTGCAGGAATAATTTCTGGCCACTTTAAAATGTCCATCAGTTCAGTAGATGGCACTATGGCACAATCTATTTACCAGCATTTGTCTCTGAGCTAAAAAGGCTCTAAGATCCATTTCCAAAGGTAATTTTTTTCTTTCTAGTTTTCAGCTAAGTGTATATGTAACATATCCATAAATGTAGGATTTCCTTCTCTTTAAAGTCTTAACTTGTAAAGCAATAAAATTGAGATATAAGAGTGACATTTTCTTTTCCTTTCCTATATAGTTGGACAGAAAGATTTTAAAATAATACTTCATAATTTTAGTGAGTCCTCAAAAAGATATTACAAGAACTTTTGAAGTGCATGTGCACTTAACAGTGATCCCAAATGGACACAGCTCAGGTTAAAAAGTTGGAAACAGTTTCATTCCCAGAGAGCTTCCATGCTGCCCAGAGTTACCATGAGGTAAGATGGCCGGCCTGTACATTTTATAAATAAATTTTATAAATGAAAATACGTAAATCTGCTTGAACACTCTTGCTTCAATTGTGCCAGTTGCATTATTTCGCATCCTAATCATTCTAATATAATTTTACAGAGGGGTATGTAATGAACCCTAGAGGAATAAGGAAAGATTAAAAGCATCAACAGTACTTTAAATTAGGGCATTTCTAACTTGTAAAACTGCAGCTGGACTCTGCTTATACAATCAGAATTTATTCATTTTTTTTATGGCAGTAGCTGCAGAAAAAAGCAGGACACATGGTATTTATACTTCTCCTGATTCAGAGCCTCCAGTTCTGTTCTCTCTTGCTGTCCTAACTGTAATTTTAAAAATTGGCCCTTCTGGATTTGACTCAGCAGCAGGTTTATTTTTGAGTACTTGGAAGGCTGATAATAGGATAATGTCACAGCCTTTTCAGTATTAGGTCACACTGTAAAAATACACCCATTTGGCATCACATTCTGTAAAGAGTCAAAATGACTGGTTGTTGGGGAGTGGGAAGAAAACATTATTTGGAAAATGAGAACTCTAATATTTCTGAAATGGATGTCACAATAAATGTTAAGAGCAGGACTAGGTACCAGATTAAAGTATGAGACGTTTGTGTGCGTTGCTGAGCTGCAAATTAATCCAAATCGTTTCACACAGTGATCTTGTTAAAATACAGTTAAGTCTCTAGTGAAACAGTTTTGCCAAAACAATTTTTTGTTATTCCTGGTGTAATAAAAACTAATTACACAAGAGCCACTTTTCATTGTCAGTAAATGTATATAGGTAGTCCTCAATTTGTGGCCTCAGTTGGGACCAGAGCTTCCATTGCTAAGCGAAGCAATTGTTAAATGAGTCACATCCGATTTTATGTCATTTTTTGCTGTGGTTGTTAAATGAATCACATGGTCATTAAGATAAACTGGCTTCCCTCAGTGACTTTGCTTGTTGGAAGCCCCCTGGGAAGGTTACAAATGATGATCACATTACCTCAGGATGCTGTAATTGTTGTAAATACATGCTGGTTGCCAAACACCCAAATCTTGATCAAATGACTGTGGGGATATGCAATGGTTGTAACTGCAAGGATTGTTTGGAGATCACTCTTCATACTTCAAATGGTTGTTAAACAAATGATTGCAAGTTGAAGACTACCTGTATCTAACATGAAAAAGAGTACCATTGTTCCAGAGTGAATTAAGGGATTACCTTTATGTCATCTTGGGTCTCATCAAACTGTACAAGAATTGCTTGCTCACTGTCAAGCGCAGGTAAATCAGGAAATCCAGGCAGTTCAAATGAATATAAAAGTTTATTGCAAGCTTAAGCTCTCTATCAGAATCTGAACTACTAATGATCAAAGCAAATTGCCGGTAGGTAAGAGCCAATGGAATTCAAGGTGAGCTGGACTTAGACCTCTTGTGGGTGCGAAGGGACTCGAAACTGATGGCATGTTTGACCCTTCCCTAGGGCTTAGCCTAGTTACCTCCTACACTCACTCTCATTTAGTTCCTTCTGCTCTATGGAAGCAGTTGCCTTCTTTCACTGCTTTTCTGAGAAGAAGAACTAATGAAATAGACCAACAGCTGCCTCTTGTATATGTAATCAAATGCTGTCTTGGACTTTACATTATTATTTAATCATTCATAGTCCTCTTTTCCAGCAGTGAACAATATAATTCTAGACTATTTTCCAGGAATAGTTTGGGACTGCCTTCTGAATGCGTTGAACTCATGCTGACCCCATTCAATATGACCAATTGGAACTGACAGAAATAGTATCCCAACGTACTCCAAAGGCCCCAATTTGATTAAATTTCATTACTTAGCCAATTAACAGAATTTCCCCCCCTTTCAGTAAACAAATTTAAGGGTCAGATTGTTACCAAAGTCACTGTACAAATATTCACAGATTTTTTTTAATAGAGAGAATATCCATCAAATACTAAAACAAGATATTTTATATTTATTTCATAACTGGCTGCGAGTATGCATTTATTTTTTAAAACATATAAGTCCATTCACATCTCCGAGATGTCACTGAGATTTAATGGAGGTTATTTGTAAGTAAAGAGACCGAAGTTAGAACTATGATTGATGATGACATGCTGAATATTAAAGAGAACTACAGATTTTTAATGTTGCTGCTGTAACAAAACTTTTTGTAACCAGGAGGTCTTTCTATTTCTCAGTTGCTCATTCATAGTATTTCTGCTTCTAAAGTCCACATAAAACAGTTGAAAACCTACCTGCAATCATCTTTGAGTAGTCTTTGTAGGTATGTACCCTCTCAAATCTAGTATTTTCAGAGAAAAGCCAGTTAGTGTTCATTTTGTATCACTTTGACTGATCAGTAAGTTACTTCAACTTCCTGCCCCCAGCCTTACCCCTTCAAGTTTTTATGTTTGTATACATTTCTCTTCAATTTTGTGAAAGAATAATCTGAGAGTTAGCTATATGGGAACACTATGCAAGGTGGATTTTAAAAATGTAGATAAAGCCACTGAAATCTGCCAAAATAATCTTGCTTTCCTGGCATC